AACCCCCCCATCAATCCTCTTTACCTCACTCCGGCAAGACTTACTGCGGCAGAGCCACCATCTCCGCTGCTGCTGTACCCTATTCCCATCCTACCAGCTAGCCCTCTCACTAGTAGGACGCGTGATATCCCACCCTCTACTCACCTCAAACTCTTTTTTGAGATACCGGGGCCATTACCCGGCTTCGGCTGAGAAAATGTCTGAGAACAGATTTAGTTCTTCTAATGAGAGTAAACACGGTCCACTCATATTCACGTCTCTGCTGGATGTAAAAAGGCATCACAAGAAACCGATCGGTTTTCTCCTCCCCCTAAAAAATGACCTCCTTCCCTTTCACTGCCTCCACTGGAAGGTGCCCCCTCACCTTCCAGCCCCAGCTCAGAGCAGCCCGCTAAATCACTCCTGCCCCCTCAGCAGCATACAATACCCCCTAGAGTATGCCCCCGCAGAGCAGAATATCACCCTTCCCTCGTGTCCCACCCCTCCAGGTGAAACACCTCTCAACCGCTCACCTTGCTGAATTCAGTATCGTCCCTTTGTCCTCTCTCCCAACCGCCTTAGCTGATCCAACCTAAATCAGCCTGGCCCAAAAGAGAACAAACCCACAAACTGCCCCTACCCTCTCAAGGATCACACCTCCCACCTTGCATAACCCTCGCAGGAAGGGGCTCCAACCCTAGAGAAGAGAGTTCAATCGGCACCTATGAACCCAAATCCTACGATATCACAGCCAGAGACTCAATTATGACCTATTTTTAAAATTCCTAAAACATACCGAATCAAGTATCAAATCAAAAGTCAAATCAAATACCGAATTCAAAATAGAAGAGAGCAAACTTGAGCATACTACTATAGAGAATTTAAAAATTGGATCAAATTTGAATATCTATCAGACATCAAGCTCACTTTGAGAAGCCTATGGTAATCAGACTTGGTGATCATTCATTGGAATCAGAGCGAAACTCTGATTTGCGAATTCCAGGTTAGGAATCTTACTCAGAAAAAAGTTTCCAGATCTTTATTTGGAAAAACAAGAACGGAATCGGAACCGAATATGCAATGAAGAAGAAATCCTAAAAACGAATCTTGGAAACCAAATCCAAAAAACTAATCTAAAGAATCAAGATCGATCATCGTTATGCAAAGTCAAAACGAAGAAGGAGAATCCGGTTATAGGGCAGGGCAAAACGTGCACATGCAGCGAGAATATGCCCTTATCAAAGCAGACAAAAATATTACACCCTCCGCACGTCTCCGCCTGGCGCGATTAATCTATCTGCGTTAAATCCTTCATCAACACTGCCTGACGCTTGCATGCCGCTTGTAGCTGACAAATCCCGTCGCAGTCTCGCAGATCTTCCTTATTTCCAGCTTCCTTCTCCATCAGCACCCTCCCCTGCCCTCATAAGAAAAGAAATCATCACGAAAATTTTGGATTGATTTTGAGACCAAGACTCAGATGACCAAGATGAATGCAATCAAAGAAGCCCTGCAACTCACGTCTGCCAGTAGAGAATTCCTCACAAAGCATCCTCCGCCTCCCCCCCAAAACACCCTCAAACCTAACCCCAACCACCTTCGGAAGAGAAACATCCAGCCTCCCTCCACATGCTAGCGATGACGGCCGCAACTGCCGACTATAATCTCGATGCTAGCAACGAAAGCATAACTGGCCATCCACAACCTAACAGGCTAATGGATGGTGTGGTAGCGCCTCGTCGGACCCGTCGACGAGCAACCACAGAAGATTCAAACCCTTAGACAGTGCAATTGAAGGAAGGCGGAAGAATAGTCTACACCCACAAACCCTCGTATGACGTCATCGCTAAAGCTCCTCTTCGCAGCACCATCACCAATGTCTCCATCCGCCACACGAACTCGCCAAGGCTGTGTCATCGGAGGAATCTTCGCTGGACCAACCCGGCGGCACAGCGCCCCCGGTAGCGCTGCGCCGCCCCCCGGGCATACCCAAGACTGCCTGACATTATGTCACCTTGCAATGCCCTCTACATCACTAGCAGTGGAGGCCCCTGGGTCAGGGGATCTCAACGTAACCTTAGTCGTCGTGATTGGGTATGACAGGATGGCTAAGGTTACTTTTATATCCCTATTATTGAGCATGATTTCTTGCATGAATTAGAAAAAGAAAAAAACAAAGGGATGGCGTCTCACTAGACAAGATATATAGAAGAAATAACTACGGCGCAGTCAGGGTTACAGTTTGTAATTGCATCTCAAACTTCGTTTTAGCAGTTTAGTCAGGCCCCGAGTTTCAAATGCAGTTGAAACTCGGGGTGGCGTTTTCTAGCAGTTCAGTCAGGCATATGGCCGGTTTTTTTTTTTTT